TCAGTTTTGATCACTCTTGCATCAACAGCTGGAATTATTATCGCCATAACTCTATTCTGGAGACATTATAAACGCAAGGGGCTCACCCATCAGATGAGACAGGCTGCCGTGAAGGGAATAGGGCCTGTTACATATCTAATTCTCTTCAACATCATCAATTTTATTGACGGCACCAATCTGATCTATCACAGCTCTACCACTGAACACAGTTGGAGTGGGAGTGTAGACTATCATCTGTGGTTGGTTCATGCAGTGACGGGGCCTGCAAGGGCAATGGCTATTCCGTTTGGATTCGTCATGACGCAACTGTTCAACGAATGTTGCATTCGCAAAAGAGGAGACACTTACCATTACCTGAACTGACTCAAATCTCTTATTACTGTATACTCTGTGGTATGGTATATAATTATGAGGTAGCTATTATTGGGACAATTGATTGTGCCGATGAACCATGTAACCAAGACATTGACTATCAGGTGCTTGCATTGAATGCAACAATGGGATGGCTCAACACACAAACGGCTCAATGTATTTAGCTAAATTCCCATTTAATTTTCATTTAAAAGCCCTAGCCAGCACATTATTTTAATATATACCACTCCAGAGGGAACCGAAGTTGCTACAATAACGGCTGTTGTTGTCCATGCACATATATAGAGGCAGTTTGATCACATGGTTAACAATGGGTATGGCATGCAGTGCCATATTAGCATATCGCAAGTGGTGTGAAATAGTTTGTACTATTATTCAGTGGGTTGCATCATGCATCATGCATATAATTATAATCCCAATCACTCATAGCAATGCGCACGCGCGGTGCTTGGGTGCATGCCCGGTGTGGGAGGAGGGGCTGACTCTGACCCCATCTTTCCGCGACAAAGGAAAGAAGGAGTGGGGAGTAATTTACACGAGAGACGGAAAAGAGAGAGGCCGGGAGAAAGAGATGGTGGCGTACAGTGAAAGTTGTCGTAGCCCGGGCCCTTCGTCGGCGCAATTGGACTCCATCTTCTACACCAGAGTGGGGGCCTGCTGCGCAACGTTCGCCGCGTGTTTGGCGTCGCTCGTCATCATCTGCTACTTCTAAACCGATTCGTAAGTTGGTGTTATTGTTACTCTATTCACCACATAAAAGGCATGTGGTGAGTATATACATCATTTATGGTCATTCTTTTTGGTTGTAACTACAATTCTGATTGTGTTTATACTATTCAACCGCCTTTGCCAATGTGGAGACAGCACATGCAAATACTTGCAATACCATTGTCTTATCTGTAGGAATTTTAAGGGAATTCATATGGCCATTGTTTTATGAAATTTTTGTAGTAACCTATATTACATGAGCCGTCCAATTTTTTGGAAGCTCAGCATGGCAATGAATAAGCAGTGTTTGCTGATGATTACTATGCACAGTCACATAATGTTTAGGAAAGGGGATAAATTATGTGCAGGCACAAACTGATGTAAAGACTCTTTGCTGCCTTCTCTGCATGACAACTCTGTGCCCATTTTTAGACACACCCTTCGGAACAACATTGCCATCTTCTAGTGGCTGAGTGCTATATAATTGACACCTACCGCACAAAAGCAAAGAAGCTAAGTCACCACACAGACGTGTGCTCACGCGCGCGTGCAGGGGGATGGGCTCGTTCAGCAACACCCACACAATTAGAAGAGGCGGTCTCCATTCGGAGCGACTTCGGCATGGAGGAGAAAAACTGGACGGCCTGCCGCCACCTGACATCCGAACAGCTGGACACTATCTTCTACACCAGAGTGGCGGCATGCTTTGTAACGTTCGTCGCGTGTCTGGTGTCACTCGTCATCATCTGCTACTTTGTCTGCTGGCGCCGCACATGGAACACGTTCGTGCATCGCCTGAAGCTGCAGCTGACGGCCGTAGCGCTGGTTGTGTCCGTCTTGTACCTCATCCAGGTACTACCCATGAAATTGGACAGTAGTCCTGGAGACAGGCATATTGACGCCTCCAAGGAATGGAGCGAAGGCTGCAAGGTCGTCATCTTCCTCCTGCAATACGGGGACTGGGTGCTTATGCTCATGATACTATGGCTGGTTATATACCTGTGCAGACTCGCCTGGAAGAGTGGGCAGACGCACACTGACCAGAGCGTCACATATCACCAAAAGTTCTTTGAAATACTTGGGATGGTATCTGCCTTTGTCATTCCTCTGCTCATAGTGTGGATGCCTTTCATTGGCGGATTTTATGGCGTTGATGATCACAAGTGGTGTGAATTTATTGTGAGAGTGAACTGCACAACTAGGACTCGTAGTGATCTGGAAGGAATCGGTTACGTCATAGGTACCTGGTATATACCAGCTATACTGGTCACCCTGGCATCAACGATTGGAATTATCACCGCGTTAGTGCTAGTGTGGAAGCACTATAGACGACAGGGGCTCACCCATCAGATGACACAGGCTGTACTGAAGGCAATAGCACCCATCACGTATCTGATTCTGTTCAACCTCATCAACGTTATCGATGGCACGAATCTCATCTACCACAGCACGAGTGACAAAGAGAGTCTGAACGGGAGCACAGACTACCAGCTGTGGCTGGTGCATGCAGTCACGGGACCTGGTAGGGCAATGACCATCCCGTTTGGATTTGTCCTGAGTCTAGTAGTAGTGGAGTGTTGCAGCCAAGTGAACCAAAAGAGAAGAGACGCATACAACCGTCTAAACTGACACTCCCTACAGGCGCAATATTATATATAATTACCCACAATAGTGTGTACTTGCTACTCCAGAGGGTGTTTTTCCCCACATGCAAGACATGTAAACTATAATATATAGGCAATATGGACTAGTAACATCATTTGATCATTACGCATGCACTCATTTATAATAATCATGTAGCTGACTAGGATGTGCACTCATACCTGTTGTACTATAATTATAGTTGTGTGGTCAGTCAGGTCATTTAGGGAAAGCAGTTGTGAGGGACCTGAGATTTCTAGTGGGCACTTGCACGGTCAGCAGAATATCCTCAGATGCACATATCACTACCAATCCCACACTGCCTTGCATTGCATGACAAGCTGGATTGAACAGTTCAGATGCCAAAATAGTATCACTATCTTGTTGGTTGTGAGTTCACTAAGGATAACCATGCTGTATGCCTTAGAGCTACATGCACCCATCAACATAGACTGTCTGTAGTTCCCCATCACTTGATAGCTTAACCTTATGATATCTAAAACTGCCTTTCAGTAAACATGAGGCATGGATTTAAGTGCCCAGTTCTGATTTTGGGTATTGCCGACAAGTGTCCTCTGTGATTGTAAGAGGCATAATGACGGAGTTTGTGTTGGCGAGTGGGCACTTTGTATATACCATTGTAGTCCAGCATGCAATCCGCAACCCGAGCACATGGCATGCATGTGCCATTACTATGGTTAGAGCACAGCATGCAGGAAGTTCAGCACAATATGCTCCATAAGAACAGAAATGAGGATATTCGCGATTTCTTCGTAGCCACATTGAAAATAGAATTGTCCGCATTTGTTGAAGAAGAGGTGTATGTATTTAAAGGTATAATTTGCACTTTCCCCCTTTTTTTTGCCCATGCCTATCCAGTGGGTTATGCATATTATTATGTCATAAGATCTATGGTGATTTTCATTGCCATGCTTTGATCTGTCCATGTGGCTACATAAAACATCATCAACACGTTCAACATGAGTGAGGTAACCATCTTTAGTACAACTGATGGTGCACATCTGGAGTGCTATTTTATCAGTGGTGCCCATGCTGTCTAATGCTGTCACCGGCCCATTCAGGGCTTTGGCCGTGCTGTTTGCATTCCGCGTTGAGTCATCAAGAGACTCAGAGCATGTTAGAGAAAAACCACCACTGTAGTCTACAGGGTAACTTATAAAATTATGTAGCGACTTCATGAGCACAAAATGTAAAACACACTGTACGAAAAGATTCTACTGATCTCCGTTTGTGCAACTGTGCACAATAATATTGTCTGCATTATTGTTTGCAGTCAGCTTTGCCATTGTCAAAGTCGCTAGTACGCATGTTCCTGCAATCTGCAAGGCATTGTTGTAGTAATTAATACAAAAACTTACAGGGAAAAGTGGGGGTGTTAATTATTTTACGGTAAAAATAAGGTCAACTGATTAAAAACTGTCCGTCGTGGAAAGACGTGCATCCAACTTTAGCCTCAGCAGTAGGAAATCGACTGGGTTGGGGGTCTGTGGTGGATTGAAGGACAAAAATCACAGTGTATTGGTGGTTATTTCTTCACATAAGGTACCACCTTATAATTAACCCTCGGCGAGCATGCACAGCGAGGGTTACAGTACTTGGTCTGTCTGTCTGTCTGTTACCATGTTCGTTTCTGCCACCACGCGCAACAAACGGCCAAAAAGCGACACCAACCACTTCAGCACTAGTTTGGCGAATTTCGTAAAAGTACTGCATTCGAGAGTTACGGCGTAAAAACCAAGTGAACAAGCCAATATGCTAATTAGCAAAGGCTTACCTCGACTGGGTTGCTCTGCGTATCTTGAAGGCATAAGAAGTCACAACGAAGGGCGTGTATCTACTAGCCCGTGTCAGACTACTTGAGGTAAGCCTTTGCTAATTAGCATATTGGCTTGTTCACTTGGTTTTCACGCCATAACTTTAGAACACTGCATTTAAAAAAATCAAGCCAGTGTAGCACTGAACCCGTTACTATCGCTCTTTGGCCGATTTCTTGCGCGTGGTGGCAGAAAACGTGGTACAGACAGACAGACGGACAGACAGACACACTCACGAACCAAGTACTGTAACCCTCGCTGCGCATGCACGCCGAGGGTTAATAAAAGTTACAAGGGGCAGTACATATAATATACCAGTTGTGAGGCTTCAATCATGGCCAGAAGTTTCTTGATGCCCACATTCAGACTGAGAGGATAAGAGACAAAAAGTGATAAATCACTGCACTGCACAGTTGCATCAGTGTATGCACAACATCTCGAACAGTGGGAATCTTTTGACAAAGAAACCTTTTGTGAAACAATAATTAATTTTGCTTCGTGGATTGCTTGCCCTGGGGCCTCGGCCAAAAACATTTTATCGAAACACTCTCAGATGACTTGAAATTTGCAAAGTTTACTACCTCAGTATCAGACTGTATTGTAGTTAGTTACCTCATAGGGCCGAGACCTTTCTCCAGGGCCTTCACCTGGTTCTTCTCAAATGAAAACATGTCAGAGTCCTATACATACGTGCAAGCAGCATAGAGAGCATAATATACTAACTGCAATGTCTCACACAATAAACTGCGGGCATATGGAAACATTCTTTTACACAGTGTAGCAGTGGTGGATCCAGGGGGGTTCCTTGGGTTCAGCGGAACCCCTTTTTTGTCGCTTTGTGCGCATGTGTTGCCGGCCTCGTTCGCAGCGCACGAGTGCAGTCGAAAACGTTCTGGACAGCGTAACCCCCTTTCAAAATCCTAGATCTGCCACTGTGTAGCCCCTCCCTAATAGACACCCCTGAAATAAAGGACACCTCTCTATTCAAGGGAATGTGTAAGGGCTAAATTTAGAAACTGTTACTAATTAATCGCATTCTTTCACCGGGGCGAACCATTTCTTAATTAATGTATGTATGTACTGTCACATTCCTTTCAAGGACACCTCTTCTTTTGTTATTGCATGCAACCCCTGAATTTTGGATGTATATTACTACGGTAACACGCATTGGTGTCTATTGTAGCATGTATTAGAGAGTCTATAGTGTACCTTGAGCACTTTCATGACCTCTGGTCCCTTCTGGAGATTAGGGACATTGACTATGGTGTTGAAGGCTCCAGCCAGTCCAGTGTCCCGCAGATCCCTCATACTGAAACTGTGGGAGACAGAGCAGACATGTCAGAGAATCGTGGAACGTTCTGATGTACAGCTCAGTGGGTAGAGCACTCTGCCTAGACTGCAGTGTCATGGGTTTGGGTGGAGGGTGAACGCCCGCCTGTCGTAAGTCCTCACGACAGAGAGGCTCCTCTTTTTCAGTGACGATTTAGAGATGGAGAGCGGGCAAGATAACGTTCGGACTACACATTACCGTTCCGTGCTACTTTTTTCTGGCAGTTTCACTGCAACATAATGGTTTTCTTTCTCTATGGCTAGTATGCTATACATATGTTTTTCGTGGGTTTGAATCCCACCCAGGGCAACTCTATTTGTTTGGGCTATCAGCGTGTTCTGTTGGCCCTGCCTGGTAAGCTGCGAGGGACAGCAAGCAATATCAGTAGAGGAGTGGTTCTCAATATTCACTCAGGGCAGGTGTTTTTAGTGTTGCACGGCGTTTTCAAGCTGAAGTGTGACACATGTAGATGTCAAGTTCAGGGTTACTATTACATACATACGTTGTAGTTCCAATGATCAGTAGCTTGTGTTGGACAGTGCCAGTCTGCAGTGCAGAGGGAGAGAGAGAGAGAGAGAGAGAGTATAGTAATTAAGTACTTGTCATTTGCTGCTAACGAGTGCCACCATTATTATGGTGGTCAAAACGCTTGTCTTACAACAGGATTTCTTCCCTTGTTACTTACTAAGTTTTGAGTCACGAAATTTGCCGTTGGGTTACTCAATGCATAGTATGTCATGAGAAAAAAGGTTATGAACATGGGTTACGAGCAAAGAACAATGGAAAAATGCTGACCAGCAGATTTCGTGACTCAAACTCAGTCTTGAAGAACCAACCATTTTTTTGATAGTCGTGCGACCTAGGCAAATGCATTACTTAATGTTGGGGTGTAACTACACTACTCACAGTTGGTGGAAGTTTCCTCAAGAGAACCAGAAGGGCCTGTAGCACCAGGTTGGAGAACCGTGGACCAATAGGAACGTAGTCTGGGGAGATCACATGACAATCACATGACTACATGAAACTATCGTGGAAGTATCACGTGACTCATACATTGACTAGATAGTGTATTTTCACACAATAACAAGACTAGCAGCGTGCCCAGACACTACGCCCATTGGAAAAGGAACCCTGAGAATAGTCTTTGCTATGCACACAAGACTAATAAATGAATGGCTACTTGAATCGAAATCCTGCAATCTGGTTGGCGAGTTCAAATTTCAAGCCAACCATGAATATCGAGCAATGTTACCTCTCAAGCCAGACCCTCATGCATGGTATATAGAAGAGAGGGTCTGGTGACTCCACATGTTGATCACATGACCTCACATGAGGGTCACATGACAACAACCACAGCTCACCAAAGAGTCTCTCCAGGTCGTCGACGACGATGCAGCTCAGCTCCGACTTGTAGGCGTCGTCAAAGACTTTCTTGATTGCACCGCACTTTGCCCCCTCGGCGAACCCGATCATGTTCTCAGGGAGTGAGGATTTTGATGAAGGGGAAGTTGGAGTCCCGTGCGATGGACGCTGCCAGCGCTGTCTTACCACACCCTGGGTCACCTGGAATTGGAAGAAAATTACCCTCAGTGGTGGCAGAACTATCGTTTCAGACTGCTTCATACAAAGACACTGTTCTTCTATCCCAGAAACTTTACAAAAAGTACAGCATGTCATTATTAGCCAAGTAAAATATTTGGAGTGTTTAACTTGGGAGAAAGCATTGAAAGTAGTTGTCCCTTGTCACACCACTCTACACGTCACATGCAGTAATACATACTTTGTGATTCTATGACCATTACACTTTCTCATTCTCTGACTATTGCGCGGAACAAATTTCATTCCTCACTTTTAAGAGGCTTTTGAAATAATATAGCAAAGCAAACCCACCTAGTTAGGTCTGAAGTAGACTGTTATATCATAAAAACCACTGCGTGTGTGTTCCCTCGTGAGAAGTGTGTTGCTGTTGCAGGTGTACAATACCTCTGAGGAGGAGGTTGCCACCTTATGCAATACCGTCACAACTTCCGTTAATTTCTTGCCTTCACTAAACCGATCACAATGTAGAACATGTAATTTGTAGCTACCTCTGAGGAGAAGGCTGACAAGAGGAGTGCGGACGCTGGTTCTGATCTGCTGTATGGCTGTCCTCCCCATCTCCTCTATCTCACCGACATTGTCTCCCCACGGAATGATCCCTGATGGACACATACACACACATGACATATACATGACACCCTGTATAATATACGCAGGGTGGAGATTGCTCAGAAATGGAAATACATACACGCTGGCTCTCTAATACATACCATATTCTGGTCTTAACATACTATATATACACTGCGTGCTAGTATGTACTTGTATTTGCACGAACCGTTGAAGACGTAGCGGTCAAGTTGCTCCTCTGATATGCCAAATGCTGGTTTCACGTCAAACTGCAGACCGTGTTCGAAATCAGCGTTAGTCACTATCAGCTTTTCCGCATCGTTGCGACCAACTAGCACCTTGTCACTGGCCTGGAAGAGAGAAGGAGGAGGGGGATTTTGACACAATTTTGGGAAAAGTTGAAGAATTCTATGGGGAAAATATTCCTTGTCAGAATTCTGAGACTGAAGAGGAATATTAGCCCCGACTGAAAACCTGTGCTATTACCATGGAGAGAGAGAGAGAGAAGAGAAGTAAGAACAGAAAGAGAACCACAGAGAAAGAGAGTAGGGAAGGAGAAGACAAAGGAAGGAGAGAAAACGATTGCGGAGAAAGAAAGATGGAGAAGATGCAAGCATGCAGAAAGGGAAAGAAGGCAAAGAGAAAAATCACGAAGAGAAAGAACAATTGTGGAGAAAGAGAAACAGATGATGTAGTGACAGACGTTGATCATCCTGTTCATGGCGGTTGCCACGGCAGACCGGACGAGCCCCTCAATCTCGGCCCCACTGAAGTTGCGAGTCTTCTCGGCAAGGTGCTTGAGGTCCACCTCGGAGTGAAGTTTTTTGTTTTTCCTCATTAGAGCCGTGTGGATGTGCAGGATCTCCAGTCTCCCCTTCTCGCTGGGTAGACCTAATGAGGGGGGTGGGGTATACAGTTAAACCCCTGAAAAAGGACCCTTCAATTAGAGGACACCTCTCTCTGTCCCATGGCTAATACAAAAGACGTCTCTGAAGGACACTTAATGTTCCCTTTATTCAGAGGCTTCACTATAATATATATGTTGGGGACCAATTAAAAACCAGAAGCCCGTTTTAAAGCCGTCCAGACGGTTTTAAAACGGGCCGGGTTTTCAATTGGTCCCCAACATATACACGTCACACTTAATAGGAACTAGTACAGTGGTATATACCTCAGAATAACGCGACAGCTATTTAACCCCCGGTGCACATGCGCAGCGAGGGTTACAGTACTTGGTTCGCAAGTGTGTGAGTCTGTCTGTCTGTTACCAAATTTTCTGCCACCGCGTGCAACGAGACAACAAAAGAGTATAATACCAAAAGGTTCAGCACTACACTGGTTTGATCTTAAATTTCGTAAAAGTACTGCATTCGAGAGTTAAGGCGTGAAAACAAGCCAATATGCAAATTAGCACAGGCTTGCCTCGACAGATCCGCTTTCTCTGCGTACCTTGGAGGCATCAGATATTGCAACGGCCCAACGGGAGGGGTTCAACTCCATGTATGTATGTATGTCCCTCACTGATTTCCATCTGGACCTCCAGTCTTCCCGGCCGCAGCAGAGCGTCGTCGATCAGGTCTTTCCTGTTCGTCATCCCTATCAACAGGATGTTGTTCAGTTGCTCCACTCCGTCAATCTACACATACACCAGGGGCAGGGTTCATTAAAGTGGGCTGGGGGGGGGCTTCTGATTGCCTTACCCCCTTAGTAAACTGGTTTTCAGCTCTATAGCTATGTAGGTCTGTGAGAACTAGAGCTTGTTCTACAATTTCAAGGTACATGTCTTAAAATCACTCTCGGAATGAAAAACCTTCCTAGGGGCTCTGTAGTGAACCTGATTTTTACCCTTTACCAAAAGTACTAAATTGCCGTATGGCTCCCTATAATTTAGAGGCTAAATATTACCCCTACCCCCCCTCCCTGTCCCCAAAATAATGCTGCACCATAGTGCATACTCACAGATTTGGTCTACGTACAGTAATACATACATACATATTATGTCTACAGTAGTACAGTACAGTACAGTACATACATATTATGTCTACAGTAGTACAGTACAGTACAGTACTACATACATGTCTACAGTAGTACAGTACAGTACAATACTACATACATATTATGTCTACAGTAGTACAGTACAGTACAGTACTACATACATGTCTACAGTAGTACAGTACTACAGTACTACAGCAGTACAGTACAGTACTACATACATGTCTACAGTAGTACAGTACTACAGCAGTACAGTACAGTACAGTACTACATACATACATACACGTCTACCACCAGTGAGAGAGAGTCGCGTACCTTGGCCAGAAGTTGGTTGACTACTGTGTCGTGCACACCAGTTCCTCCTCCCTGCAATAAATAGTACAGTGATTCACTCACAACTTTTGATCAGTGTCTTTACGTGTGTGTACTACTTACTACATGTTGAACTGATTACTGCATACATACACAGTCAGTGAAACCACTGAACTATGGCCCTCCTCCATGTGTATGAAGGACACCTCTTTAACTGTTGTATCTGGGAGGTAAGACGGACACCCCTATCTCATGTCTCAACTACTTGGTGGCGAGGTAGAAAGGCAAAGCAAGGCAAGGCAAACAAGTCAACTACACCCAGACCACTGTCATATAGCAGGGTATCAGTATGTACACGTGCATCAAAGACGTCAATGCAAAGCAAAGGCACACCAACACAACTACACCCAGACCACTGTGATATAGCAGGGTATCAGTTGACGTCAATACAAAGGCACACAACACAACTACACCCAGACCACTGTGATATAGCAGGGTATCAGTTGACGTCAATACAAAGGCACACAACACAACTACACCCAGACCACTGTGATATAGCAGGGTATCAGTATGTACACGTGCATCAAAGACGTCAATGCAAAGCAAAGGCACACCAACACAACTACACCTACAGGAAAACTCTTTTTTCCACGTACACATGTAGTACTGTTGCCTCTGCCCAGTCCTCAGGTCTATGGACCAGTAGGTGATTGCAGGGCATTCTTGGCAAGTACGTAGGAGTGAGTGCAAGACTGTTTAGAACTGCTCTGTTTTGTATTGACAATCTCAAATGACTCATCAAAACACATGAACAAAATACACCATGTGATGCCAAGAGAAAAAAGATGTGGAGCTCTGGACAGCTGTTTCAGGCTTGTTGGCCCTCATCAGCAGAGCATACCACAACTTCTCTCTCTGGCACCAAGAGTTCACATGAAAAAACATGTTTATAGCATACTAGCTCAGAGGAAAAGAAAGAACCTCCCCCACCCAAGCACACAAAACACAGACAATAACATACCCAAGCGTACAAAAACACAGACAATAACATATAAACAGAAAGAAAGAGGCAGGACCCTGGGTGCCCAGCCTTGAGAACCGGGGCGGTAGGTTAAAGAGTCTTTTATGCACATGCACAGTTGGACCACATACGTACAACTTAAATAGCCTCGTACAGAAAAATCGCGCCGTTTGGACCACTAGGTTACCTCACTCCCGCTCGCCAACAATCCTTCTCTTCACTTACCACGGTTCCTCTCTGTTTACAGATGGCGTCCAGCTCGTCAAATATGATGATGTGAAGAGCACTGTTGATGCCCATCTTCTTCTGCTCCGTCTCGGCCTCCGCAAACAGTAGTCTTCACCGGGTGAGAGGGGACCAGAGGAAGGAGGCCGGCCGGAAGAAATAGAGAGAGAGAGAGATGAGAAGAATGTTTGGTAGAATTGATGTAAAGAGACTGTGTTTTACTGTAGAGGGTCATGGAGTTGTCATGCCGTAAAAACCTCTTTAACCCACCACCCCAGTTCTCAAGGCTAGTGTCCGGCCATTGTGTGTTATAGCGAGCATGCTACAAGCTTGCTTATTCATTGCTATGATAAAAAGAACGGATTTTACTGGGCTTGGTATGACATACAGGCACTTAAGATAAAGGTGAGAGATTAGTTTGAATTGAGCTAAGAAGACTGTACTTTACTGTTGATGCTCATATGCACAGGCAGAATCGATTCTACTGAGCTTGGTATAATTATGTATACAAACACTGCTTCAGGAGATTGCAAATATTTCTCAAAACTGTATGGATAAAATGGGCACTATATAGAGTATATCATACCTGATGTTTGACTCTGACTCTCCCACATACTTATTCAGCACCTCTAAAAATGAAATTTATCACAAAAGCTAACAAACAGGAAATAACTAATAGTTATCAAACTACTTTCACAAGGCCTATATACAAACTTGATAATTTTGTGTTTTGTAAATTTCACAAAGAACGCTGGTCCTGCAATACAAAGGCCTTGCCTAAAAATTTTTCAGACGGCTAATAAATTTTTCTCCCAGCAGCTACAGGGTATATACAGTGTATTGAAGAGTGACAATACCCCATCCACAGGCCTGTTACAACATGTGTGACAGATAGTGAAACGTAATCCTCGGATTTACTGCGAAAAGCGAATAACCGAGGTTAGCACAAGAAAATCTGTGGATGCTCTTAATCCATATTTTGCGCCAAACTTAATTGGCGATTGAAGTGAGCCTACCTAGTCGTTTCAATGTGGAAAATTTCTATACGTTTATTTATGTATGTATGTGACGGGCACTGCACTACCGTAATTTTCTACGTGATTCTAAATATGTACGCGCGAAACATTGAATTGCTCATGCTCGCTCGATGCGTGGCATTCGTTCTGGTATATATATATAGGTTATACTGCGCGTCAATGGAAATACGCGATTTAGACGGCACGAGGGGCCCTGAGCTGTAGCTGTCTGAGCGCAGCGAAGACGCTACTAAGGGCTCCGAGGCCGTCTAAATCGTGTATTTCCATTGACAAGCAGTATAACCTGTTTAGACGGAGGCCGTGCCGGCCTTCAAAATCGTCCAGGTCCGCCGTCTTCCGAAAGACTCGCTCTTGCCGGGGGAAGCTAAAAAGGTCTTCAGTTTAGTTTCTTTTTGCATCTTAGAGAGGCCTTTCATCGAAGAAGCATCGGATATAGCGAGTTTGAAGTCGTCGCGGCGAGCTCTCAGCGACAGAGCGAGTTTCTTTGCCTAGAAGCTTGCCACACCCCCATCGAAGACGCCATTTTTTGGCGGGCGTCTCCATGGAAACACGCACTTGGAAAATACGGGATTTAGAATCCACGTTTTACGCAATCTGATTGGTCAATTTGAATCTGCCGACGTCTAAATACAGTAAGAGTGACAGACCAGGTCCATTGACAATCTTGGGTTCTCTGGCATGCAGCATCTTCCCAATCTGCCTGGCCATCAGCGTCTTCCCCGTTCCTATTCAGAGGAGGATACATACAGAGACCGTATGTAGCTTGGTTCATAGTACGTTAAAAAGACATGCATGTAGCACACTATTCAGAGATGAAAAAACAGAGGAGGTCCAAAGGGTTTATCTACAGGGTTTGATCCAGAAATACAGTGGAACCTCCGAACAAAGGACACTATGGGGCCAACGGTCTTGTCCTTTGTAGAGAGGTCGTCCCTATCTCGGAGGTCAAATAATACACTAATGTATTAGCATGGGGTTGAAGCAAGGACACAATGCTCACCAGGTGGGCCATAGAGTAGAATTCCTCTGACATGCTTCATTCCTGTGGAACAGAATTACACAATGTTACGTCTCGAAAACTAGCCAAGAAGACGGACATTAAAATTTATATATGAACATTTTCCCAAAGTTAAGGCCATCTTAGAGTGAACATGTATTTGGGAAATCATTTTTGTCGCCAAATTTGCATTTTACAGGCGATTATGTATCACAAAGCAGACATAAAAGAGATACATATGAATTGGCTCACCCAGCTGCTCGACCACGTCAGGCGATTACGTATCACAAAGCAGACATAAAAGAGATACATATGAATTGGCTCACCCAGCTGCTTGACCACGTCAGGCGATTACGTATCACAAAGCAGACATAAAAGAGATACATATGAATTGGCTCACCCAACTGCTCGACCACGTCAGGCGGGAACACACGAGATGCAAATGCTCTCCGGAATATGTCGGAAAATTCCTGAGTGGGGTAATTATAAAACGTGACGGCACTGATGAAAATGAGATGCCGACCGTCAAATGTACATTCTCTATTCAAACAGTCACTAATGATACGAATAGGGCACGCAAATAGACAGACATGCACCACTACCAATACCAGTGCTTTTGCACACTCACCAAAACAGTTTACATAATGGCTACACCCACACACTAGATACTACTGTGTTAATAGCACATGTATAACAATATGCAACATGTATAACAATATGCAACATGTATGTGTACTTCAGTAGTGGTGCATTATGGGATGTGTAGGACCTTGTCCAGTCCGCCGATGCCCATCTGTTTGAAGTCCCAGTCGGGGCTGATGATGGAGGTTCTCGCCGAGTCACTGCATGTGGAGAGATTGTGTTACAGTATTGTTGGATATCTCTAGGCAACCGACATGTATGAAGCTAGGTATTGGGGGATTTTATCAGCCTATACAATCCTACATGTGCAAGCAGGGTTCATACATGTCGTTTGCCTAGGGATATCCAACAAATCTGTTGCAGTACCCAGACAGGACAGCAACATATACAGTGTGATCACTGTAAAAGAGTCACTGCATGTGGAGGGATTGCATTACAGTAGTGTGATCACTGTAAAAGAGTCACTGCATGTGGAGGGATTGTGTTACAGTAGTGTGATCACTGTAAAAGAGTCACTGCATGTGGAGGGATTGTATACAGTAGTGTGATCACTGTAAAAGAGTCACTGCATGTGGAGGGATTGTGTTACAGTAGTGTGATCACTGTAAAAGAGTCACTGCATGTGGAGGGATTGTGTTACAGTAGTGTGATCACTGTAAAAGAGTCACTGCATGTGGAGGGATTGTATTACAGTAGTGTGATCACTGTAAAAGAGTCACTGCATGTGGAGGGATTGTATTACAGTAGCGTGATCACTGTAAAAGAGTCACTGCATGTGGAGGGATTGTGTTACAGTAGTGTGATCACTGTAAAAGAGTCACTGCATGTGGAGGGATTGTGTTACAGTAGTGTGATCACTGTAAAAGAGTCACTGCATGTGGAGGGATTGTATTACAGTAGTGTGATCACTGTAAAAGAGTCACTGCATGTGGAGGGATTGTGTTACAGTAGTGTGATCACTGTAAAAGAGTCACTGCATGTGGAGGGATTGTGTTACAGTAGTGTGATCACTGTAAAAGAGTCACGCATGTGAGGGATGTGTTACATAGTGTGATCACTGTAAAAGAGTCACTGCATGTGGAGGGATTGTGTTACAGTAGTGTGATCACTGTAAAAGAGTCACTGCATGTGGAGGGATTGTGTTACAGTAGTGTGATCACTGTAAAAGAGTCACTGCATGTGGAGGGATTGTATTACAGTAGTGTGATCACTGTAAAAGAGTCACTGCATGTGGAGGGATTGTGTTACAGTAGTGTGATCACTGTAAAAGAGTCACTGCATGTGGAGGGTTGTATATGTGGAGCAGTTAAAACTATGTGGAGGCATTGTACAGTGTTTACTGTTACTGCACACACTTCAGACACATGCTCCATTTAGTTTGAACTACGTAATATAGAGTAATATTAGTGTGTTCCATCTGTAGCACAAAGTTTAGCCCAGTCTCAGGATTCTTCACCACATACGGTAATTCATTTATAGCTCATGCAGTGAAGTTATGCACTATTCTAGAAGTAAACGCATTCCAGCTATGCAACGTGGCACATTAAATTGTTGGAATATCACACTTTATGGGGCATTCCGAACATGCCAACTGATGAACGTCTGCAGCTCTTCGTTTATGCACAAAACAACTCTCCTAACCAACCCTAGCCCTATCGTGCGTCGAAAAGTCACACTTTGGGGACGTTGACAGTGTCCTACATCTTTCTTAAGAGGTGTTCTTAAAACCCTTTGGGCGCAATTTACATATATATATATGCACAGAGCCTCCATAAGTGCATAAGAATTTATATATGGCTATAATACTAGGCGCTAATATGTTATACATCAATTTCTTCTTATTTAAGGAGACACCTATGGCGCCCAAAGGGTTAATTCAGAGAACAGTTCTAGCCATGTAATTTAATCCCTTGAACATACCCAACAGCTCTTCCAGTCAGCTGAATGGACGAGTCCTAAAACAAAGAACATTGCCACAGACCTTACAAGACACCAAGAAAACTAACCTTCTTTCGCTCAAAGATGATGAGAGAGTTCTCGTACAGGATACCGTAGTCTGAGGACGTGTCCTGTGGAGTTTGTGAGGGAAATAGTACTGTAGCTCTAGATTTAGTCGACTTTATACCGAGGAAACTATCTCACCTTTGCGGCGCCTTCAGCAGACACACTGGCCACTGAACAGCCGAAGTAGGGAGAGGAGGAGGAGGTGGGGGAAGAGGAGGAGGAGGAGGAGGAGGAGGAGAGGAGGGGTGAAGAGGAGGAGGAGGAGGAGGAGGGGGAGGAGGAGGAAGAGAAAAGTGACCAGAATGCCGAGTGAAAAAAACGGGGCTCACGTTTGATTTTGAGGACTGTAGCTTTGAGCGGGCTTTTCTTCAGCTGTGGGAGTTGTTCCCAACCACCCAACACGAGCTGGAGAATGTACACAGTGAAGTACGGAGATAACAAAACCAAAACTTATCGACTATTTGATATAGGTTCTGCTAATGAGATTGGGAAGGATGCATGGTGCACTAACTATAGGTATTCACTAAATCAGGGGGAATTATACATAGTATGCTAAAAACTGAGTGCCATACTGGAGTATATAGGTTATTATTAACCTGCTGGTTTTTTACAAAGACATTGTTAGCAAGACTTTCCCGAAACTCTCTGGCCAGTGCGTCAGTGTCCATGGGCTGGAGGAACATTCCTTAGAGTTGGCGGGGAAAGAGGGCGAAAGGGGGAACAGAGAAGGGAGTGAGTGTAAGGTGACCGCGAGTAAGAAAGAAACTCACTTGGGCTTGTTGTAGAAGTCAACCTCCAAGATCAGCTCTTGAATGAGCATACTCCGTCTGTCAATTTCAAGACGCTCCACTGCAGTAGTGTAAGAGGCAGAGGAAGTCACCTTTTTCACAAAGAATTATGTACGCACTCTAACCTTGTACTTGTTTGTCCAACCTTGCATTGCACCATTCCCTCTGTATGAAACATAGATAGACACACTCAGTTTGTGAGCGTATAGCTAAACCGATCCCGGCACACTTCTTCAAAATTTAGTCTTATATGAAGTAACAAGGGCAATAAGAGTCTATCTACAATACATGAAATTATAGTTCATAGCATACCAGCCATAGGTAAATTAGATAGATAGAGAAATAAATAATAAAAACCACCACCAATATCTCCACAAATCCCAAAACATCCACAAAAAACACATACACAAATACACATGACATGACATGAGAGCAGGACACATGTGTGTAACGGTTGTTCAAACAGTATTAACTGTACATACCTGTACTCCGCTCAGTCCAATGTAGTTGGGTCTTACTTTTGGGTGTGTGGCTACAGTGAGGTAGTAGGCCCCCTGCACTTTGATATAGGAGTGGCCACCTCTGCCAGTCGCCAAGAAAGGGAGAGCAGGAGTGAAAGTTGGGGGTACTGTCGCATTTGGTAAGTAGCTCACCTGGCAAAGCGGTCGCCATCCCGCAACACTGCACAGTTGCGAAGAGATAGTTCATCCGAGGGACTCTTGTCCACCGTGTACCACTCCGCCCGAGACTCCGCCATTGTGCGTGGGGAGAGACTCTCGCACAAGCGCTGAAAGTGCGCATGCGCATTCATCAGGCCCGCCCAAATTCAACTGCCCATTCTCCTCTGCCACTTACTTACTACTTTTATGCGAATTATACTCTACTGACCATCCACGCCTGCATAAATTTCGGCTATGCAGGAAGGGCGCCTTGATTATATATCGCATCTCCGAACTTGAGGGCCACTCAGTATTCATTTTCACTAACACAGTCTACCTGAACGGCTCAAATAAGTTCTCATGTGAGACTAATGAGGAACCAACCATCTGATTGGAAGATCAATGGAACAGTACTGGGAGATCTTACACATGAGATGAGAATAACTTGAAGACTTTAGCAACTGGGGAAACACATAACCTTCCCAGCCAGAGCTGGTTATATACCACGTGTGACACTGAAGTTAGGCAGTGGTTCAGTCAACATCACAAATGCAACTGACTGTGTTTTGTGTCTAGAAGTCCTTGCAGATGTACACATGTGGCAATGCTTATTTACATTCAATTTCCCTGTTTATTTGGAGACGGTTACACCTGCTTGATTTCTCACCTCACTTTTAGAGTAGCTATATACTACTTACTGCATTAAAAGTTGTCTTTGTAGGACATGTTCTGCTGGAATGCACCGCATTGGTTGGGTTCGGAGCTATGATAAACCCAAGGACCACTTTCCTTATGCTATAGATCACATATCCAGTTTCAACATCCGCAGCCTGACAGTGCACTACAAATAGCTATAACCAGTAGATGCATCCACACACTTTTGGGTTTCCCTCTCACGTGTGGTGTATAATGTGATTAGAAGAATGAAGGAAATATTAGTACTTGTGTGTCTCCTTTCTCTCGCCCTCCGCGATGCTGATGGTTCGTGCTGGCACCGTACACCCGGTGGTCCTGCCCCACCAACTGGGACTCCTCCCACACCCACTACTCCTGCCCCATCTCGTGGCCCCAAGAAAATCCCACTCTATCGCTACTGGAATCCACACTGGGTCGACCATCTCTACACAACCAACTTCGGAGAACTAGCCGGACGAAAAGGACAACACGGTTTTCGTTACGAAGGGATCCAGGGTTACCTGTACAAGAAGAGGGTGAGAGGTTCGGTTCCACTGTATCGCTACTGGAGACCTCGTGGTCGCGATCATTTCTACACAACCAACCCAAACGAGATCGGAACCACAGTCCCAGGGCGGACGGGAAAGTATGGATACACGAGCGAGGGTCATGTGGGTTTTTGTATGCCTCGTAAAGTACCGGGAACTGTGCCACTCTACCGCTACTGGAAGGCCCACCGGGCAGACCACTTTTACACCATTAACATCAGAGAGATTGGTACTGCTACGCCGGGAAGAGTTGGGAAGTATGGATACAAGTCGGAGGGAATCACGTGCTTTGTGTTCACAAGACCTTGATGGGGCGACTGCAGTGCTGAAGGGCACCAAACTGTTAGCTAGTGTTAGTTGATAGAACACAAGTTTTAGCATTTCATGTAGACCTAATAATAATTGATAATGATTCATGGAAAATGATGAATTTGTTTGAGATCTTATGAAGTAAACTTGTCAAAGGTTCAGTAGAACCCGACATGTATAAAACATTATCTATACATGGTTTTTAATTGGGTTGGACTTACATTTACCACTAGAGTATGTACATACTCTTGATGCATTCACTAAGACCCTAAAAGTACTCAAAATGCTTATCATTATAGGATAGCACTGAGATTCACTCAGCTTGTCCCAACAACTATTGTGGCAACCATGCCTTTTTGTCATGGATCATTGTAGTAGCATAGGACGACCTATGAAGTGGTGGCTTGTACCCTGGTCACTGGGGATACACTTGCTCTAGACTAGTGCTTATAGTACTCCTTTACCTCTCTATCTGGACAATAATAATGAGCACAACATACGAACCATATGAAGCACTAGCATATAGTGTGCATTTGCATCAGAGTCACTGATGAATGCAGCTCTCACTTGTGTTTGCTAAAGCTGTTGCAGACCTGTTTTCCTGCGTGCTTAGCTTCATTGGTGTTTGATTAACCGTTTCCCATCTCGCTCTTGACACTGTTACTGTTGTTATAGTTGCTCATGTCAAAACCAAGTATCTTGCTTCAAAACTGAGCTGGAACGTACCAAAGTGTGGCTATAGCTATATATGATCAAGCAAAGGACCGCTTTCCTCGTGTAGATTGTATATATAGCTCTCCGGAGTTTCAACATCCGTGCATCCTAGCCAAGTGCACTACAAATAGTATTATATACAACCACAAGTATTGGTTGGTGTAGCTATACTACTCTCCTTTGCAGAACGATAGGAAATTAGAATTGAAGTATGATGGGGATATTCATTCTTGTGTTTCTCCTCTCCCTCACCCTCTATGATGCTGAAGGGTCGTGCTGGCGTCGCGCACCTGGTGGTCCTGCCCCACCTACTGGTTCTCCTCCACCTGCTACTCCTGCCCCACCTCCTTCTGCCTGTCAGAAAGTTCCCCTCCACCGCTATTGGAACCCTCGTTGGATCGACCATTTCTACACCATAAACCCCAACAACCAAGAACTGGCAAAACACAGCTTTCGCCATGAATTGATCCAGGGCTACGTCTACAAGAATCGGTGTAAAGGGTCGGTCCCTCTCTACCGCTATTTGAGCCCTCGTGGTCTTGATCATTTCTACACAACCAACCCGAACGAAATTGGAACCACAGTCCCAGGGCGCATGGGAAAGCATGGATACAAGAGCGAGGGTCACGAGGGGTACTGTATGCCTCGTAAAGTACCGGGAACTGTGCCACTCTACCGCTACTGGAAGGCCCACCAGGCAGACCACTTTTACACCACTAACATCAGAGAGATTGGTACTGCTACGCCGGGAAGAGTTGGGAAACATGGATACAAGTCGGAGGGGATCACGTGCTACATTTTCCCTAAACCTTGAAGACGGCCTGCAGCATCGACAACTACCAAACAGACTTAGGATGATTAGTTGTAGTCAGTGATAGGATTAGCATGCAACTGTGTGTAGGTGAACATGATTCACGTGCAATTTGCCGGACAACATCATAATTATGACATTAACAAGTGAAAACAACACAGTAGCTATTAGCTATGAACATACAGCATGCGGATGTGGGTAATGTTCCTGTTGATGAGGGGTGGAGGGTGACTTCTGGTTTTCTATTGGCTAGTATGCTATAAATATACTTTTCATGCCATGTTTGAGTAGCTACTACCGCCATTATTGACCACAACGAACCTAGCTATAGGCACGCATGCACGTGTCTAAAGTGGTCACCATGACAAGTTTGGCCGTTGAATTTATGAGACGGCACAAAAACCTTGACTCTCTGTATCCCGATACCATAATAAAGCTTCACTCCACTTCACACCCTCGTTTTGTTAGCGTTTGCTGGCAAAGTGTCAGTAAAATAGAGGTGAAAGAGGGATTGGTGAAGCTAGTAGGTAGGTAGAGGTGCAGAAAGAAAGTGGCTTTTGTCATAGCCACTATTTCTTGGAAAAGTACAGCGTATTTCGGGACTATAAAGTTTGGGGCTAGTCTCGAGCGGCCAGATTCTTACTCGCCACGAGAAGTCTGACCACGCAAGATTTTTTGTGGAGTGAAAGTGTAACTCTCACAAGCCCCTACGTTGGGGCGATGTGTGGCCTTGTTTTCTCTGAAATGGAAAGGATCGAGGAGGTTGAATGCAGTTAGAGAAGGTTCGGTATAATCGAACCACACCGAATCCATGTGTAAAAGACCTACACAACTTGCTAACCCTCGGCGCGCATGCGCAGCGAGGGTTAACTGTACTTGGTCCGTACACTGTTAAAAATGGGGTGTTACGGCAACACCTTTTGGGGCGCCCGTGGGACTGTGCCAGTTTGGCACCCTTGGGGTGTTAGGGTGGGGTGTTAACCATCACCCATAAGAGTGTACAGGAACACCCTTTCTGGGGTAATGTACACCCATAAGAGTGTACAGGAACACCCTTTCTGGGGCAATGTACACCCATAAGAGTGTACAGGAACACCCTTTCTGGGGCAATGTACACCCATAAGAGTGTACAGGAACACCCTTTCTGGGGCAATGTACACCCATAAGAGTGTACAGGAACACCCTTTCTGGGGCAATGTACACCCATAAGAGTGTACAGGAACACCCTTTCTGGGGCAATGTACACCCATAAGAGTGTACAGGAACACCCTTTCTGGGGCAATGTACACCCATAAGAGTGTACAGGAACACCCTTTCTGGGGCAATGTACACCCATAAGAGTGTACAGGAACACCCTTTCTGGGGCAATGTACACCCATAAGAGTGCTATTTAGCCTTTCTATTGATGCTACAATACACCCTTTGGGGTGTTCATAAACATTTCATAGGGTGTTCGACAACACGCGGTTGGTGCTTTAGAGCGCTGTTCGGTTGTTGCAGTAGCGCCACTGCTCTTACTGTTGAAGTGACAAAAATATTTAACAGTAAAAGAGCATGAGATACAAAGAGCAATGATACAGTAAAGAGCATAAGATAAAATCTAATGATGCTAGAGTCCTTTTGTCAGAAGTAACCACAGAGATGTAACCATGGTTTTCAGTGATTTTCTTCACAGCCTCATCAAGGTCAGGCTCATTCTATAACAACAGTTCTTTAACAACAGGTTTTTCTGTCTGTCTGTCTGTTACCACGTTTACACGCGCAACGAGACAACGAAAGAGCGATACTAAAAGGTTCAGCGCTATACCGGGTTGATTTAAATTTGGCGATTTTCGTAAAAGCAGTGCGTTCCGCTTGAAAACCATTAATTAACAAGCCAATATACTAATTAGTATTCGCTTACCTCTAGGAAGCGAGAATGCGTGTGTTACACTGGCAGGTTGCGCACAATTTTTCGCCGTAAATAGTACCGTTGTGCAGCCAGGGTGCTAGAGCAAACTTCTGGTCGTTTCTGGTGAAATACCTTTTTGGAACTGGCAATCAGCACTCGTACATTCCGCGCGCTGTATGCAGAGGGGGCTGACCAATGGAGAATCTCCTCTCTCGGTGCACCGTAAGTAGTTCAGTATTGTCAGTGTCTCTGAAAGGACTGAAGAAGAGAAATTTGCGAGAATAGAGCAAGACAGACTACGTAGTACGTAAACAGAGCACATGGGCAGCTGAAACATACGACCAAATTTCAGCCCGGCAAAGAAGTGATAGACTGCGTAAAGAAACCACAAGAGCCTCTCTCTGAAACAATTGAGCAGACATTGCACAGGCATGAACGTGACAGACAGCATAAAGAAACCACAAGAGCCTTTGAAAACAATTGAGCAGACGTTGCACAGGCATGAACGTGACAGACTGCATAAAGCTACACTGGATACTTCTGATACTTGAGCTATTCCACGCCGCCGAGGGTTTTGCTTTTCATTCATTTAATAATTTTTAAGTGTAATACGTACATGTAAAATAGCTCAGAAAATAATCAGGTTCTTTCACAATAGCTATTGGTGTTTCATTTGAAAAGTTCAACACTATCAGTTAGATAAATCGCAAGAAATGTTGAAGAGTATCCCCCAACCACTACGAGGCAGTCTTCACCAAGAGCTGCTGCAAGACAATCATATCGCTTCTTCTTCATTTGACTAACGATAGTCCAAGAGTTAATGTAGGGAGTCATATCTATAGATATTGGATGTTGGTTTAGTAAAAGCCGTGTAACCACCCAACAGCTAGCAAGTGCCCACCAAATGCTACAAGAGTGGAGCTGTCCTCTGGTAAAGAACTGATCTCCTTCCATAGAGAACCCATCCGTTGTGGGTGCAAGAGATCGGGAATGGAGCAGGTGAAGACTGATGTTCTATTCCTGATATAGAGTGCATCTTGAAACAATGCTGCTGACAAAAACATTGATCCTTGTGGGAGAGAAGCGACTGTTGCCCACTCTTTAGTGTTGGTGTTCATTACTTCCACAATACCTACCATATATACACCATTAACTGTACCACCTGCAACAACTAGAGCCTCTTCAGTAGTGACACAAGCCACACTCTTACGCGGTGTGGGCATGGGAGGGAAGACATTGGACCACTCTTTCTTCTCACCTTCTCCTGTGAGACTGAGGAGAGTGTTAGTGGGACCGTCGCCACCAACACTAGTCACAAGACCATCAATAACTGCCAGACCAAACTCTACATTAGGGTTATTTGGGAGCCGAGACCATTGTTCGTTCCCTGAAATGTTCCAGTATGAGTAGACCCGATGTCCACATGCGAAAAATGCTGAGTTGCCATATACCACTGATGCAGCACAAGAGCTGCTCATTGTTTCTGGTGCATTCTTTCCCTTACTCCACTTCTTCTCGCTTAAATCTACTGCCACAGCTGTCTGTGGTGCTGAGGCTTGCTGTTGGTCTCCCCTGGCCCTGTCTCCCCTGCTGAATCTTTCTCTCGTGGTCTGATATGGTCCTCTGTAAGTCAGCGATGGCCTTGTCTTTCAGCTGCAAGCTATTCTGAAACTCTGCCACCAACTGCTCACTGGCTTGTAGCTCCTTTTGTGCCTCATACCTGCTAGCTATCGCAACTTCCATAGCTTGATGCTTTTCTTGAAGCTGTGTATCCTTTGCCTGTATCACTCCATACCTGTCCTGAATTTCTCTATCCCTCTCCTGTACCATGTTCTCTAAGCCTGAAATTTGTTCCCGATGTCTCGCCGCTTCTCTTGCTTTAGTATCGGTCAAGCTTCGAAGTTGTAGCTGAAGTTGTTCGATTTCACTGCTGTGCTCTGTCTGTTCCCTGCTCTCTGTGTACTGAGAGGACTGTTTCAGTTCAGACAGCCTCTCACTGAGCTGTTGAGCTGAGGGACGCTCGTTCTCCTCCTTCTTCACACATTGGAGGGCTAGCGGCTTCAGAGCGTGGGAGTCTGCGATCAACCTGAGGTGGGCCTGGCGACGCTCTGCATCTGGAACTTCTTGTCGAAGTGGCTCCTTAAACTGAGGAACTGAAACTAATCTAAACCGATCGGTTGGATTGGGGAACTGCCTGGTCAAGATCTGGACGACTATGACACCAAAGGAGAAGACGTCAAGCTTAGACGTGTAGGATTTCGCTTCGTCCAGAGCTTCGGGTGACATGTACAGGATGTTACCTAGGCACAGGGTCAAGGCCGTCATGCGAGGATTGACGGTAGCAAGTTTCGACATCCCGAAATCTGTGATTTTGGCTCGAATGCCAGCGATCATCAATACGTTGTTTCCCGTTAGGTCTCTGTGGATGAGACCATTGGAGTGTAGGTAGATCAGAGCCAGTGCTATGTCGTGGGAGATGTTCACCTGAGTGTGGTAGGACAGTGGTCCTGGGGATCGCTCCAGGAATGCTGTCAGACTTTCATCGCAGAGCTCCATGAGGAGAACAGGTAGTCGTGTGTCGGGGTCAGTGTAAGTACCCAGGTACTGGACTACATTGGGGTGCCTCGCTAGACTAAGTACGCGGCATTCCTCCCGGAACTTACGAAGGTAGGTGGTTGTTCCGGGGTCACGTAGGTCAAAGAGAGTGGGGTGCATGATCTTGGCAGCACACAGTAGCCCATCACACTTGGCCTTACACACCCCTCCATACGATCCACTACCGAGACTCTCGGATTTGTAGAGCTCAATGTTGTGGTAGGAAAACTCAGTCTGTCGTTCAGCCATGGCTTTGGAGATCTGCATTTCAAAAATAGTTGTAGCTAGCTCAAAAGAAACGAAGAAACTCTGTAACCTTACATTATCTTTCAAATTCTTGCAGGGCGGGTTGTACAAAAGGTGAGGGCGTATATATCTCGTTCGGCTGCTGGTTTCCGTATTTGGACAAATGGGATATTCACGTGATTGCGCCACTGCGCATGCGTTTCCATTGATATTTACGACGACCGCGGGAACAGTGTTGAAACTCAGAGACTCCAATTTTTGACAACGTCTACATTCTCACTGGACAGTCTGGATCAGTGGTAACTAAGATCAATTCGAGCAATTTGCGCATGCTCATACGACATAGGACATAGCGTACGGTCGGTGGCCCAGAAGGATATTCGCATTTTTCGTTTCCCGTTCCCCATTTCTCATTTCTCATTTCTCGTTTCCCGTTTTACGTTCTCGCTTCGTACCTCGTTTCTCACCGCTCGTTTCCCGTTTTACGTTCTCGCTTCGCGTTTCTCGTTTCTCGTTTCTCACTGCTGTTCTCGCTTCGCGTTTCTCGCATATACCTCGTTTCTCGTTTCTCGTACCTCTTTTCTCGTTTCTCACCGCTCGTTTCCAGTTTTACGTTTTTTTCATTTCAGATTTTCCAGGAAGTTACTTTGGCTCCGTGTGGGATCAACAAACCATGACCCCAGTGCGATTTTATACTATTTTCTAGAAGCACTGGAAGAGCATAATGGTTAGCTACATAGGAATGTTATAATACGTGCTAATGTGATGATTCTAACAGCATGTCCTGCTGTTAAGGATGGACAGGGGAACGGAGAATACGAAAGTTGCAGCCCTTCAGTATGCTATGCGTGAGGCTTGAGAAACGAGATATTACGAGAAACGCGAAGCAGACCCATGTAGCCCATCAATTTAGCAGTACCGCGCATGCGCAGTTAGCCCAGGGTCATAAAGAGGCCATACAATTTCCCCATGTTCTGTATGCAAATTATTTGCATAACCACAGTGGGTCTACAACAGGAGCTAGAAGATAGTAGCAGCGTGGCAATTGGCTTTTACTGTTTCTTTACCAGAAGGGAGTGTTTTCAGGCCAGAAGTTAACCCTCGGCGCGCATGCGCAGCGAGGGTTATGTCCGTGTGTGTCTGTTACTCTCTCCATCTCACCTCTCGAATGTCTGTTCGTCCCAGAAACGATACCATCTACCCAACGGGCGACGAAGGTCAGAAAATACGTGGGGTTTTCTCTGAAAATGCTCCGTTGCAGAGCTAGAGCGCTTCCAGCATTGTTTGTCTAAGGCCGTAGTCGCCATTTATCGCTGGCGGATAATGCGCATGCGCTTATATCTTATATGTATACCTCGACCTGCTCTTGAAGGCACAAGAAGTCACAACGAATGGCGTGTATCGACTCTCGCGTGCTATCTACTACTGTAGCTAGCCCGTGTCAGACTCTCTGCGAGCTACTTCGCCGAAGGGTTGCACTTTAGTAGTTGGGTCTGTCTGTCTGTTTGTCTGTTACTCTATATCTCCCTCCTCGAACGTCTGTTCGTCCCAGAAACGATACCATCTACCCAACGGGCGACGAAGGTCAGAAAATAAAGGCGGTTTTCTCTGAAAACGCTCCGTTGCAAAGCTAGAGCGTGAAAAAGCCAATATGCAAATACACAACGGCTTACTACGGCATGATCGATCCGCGTACCTCAGATGCACCAGAAGATGCAACGCAGGGCGTGTATCGCATCTCGCATGCTATCTAGTAGTGTAGTTCGCCCGCGCGTCAGACTGCGCGAGCTGGCAAGAGACCGCTAAAACTAAACCCAGCCCATCGATTAGTGATACGGCGCATGCGTTTACTCACGCGTGCGCGTCACAATGCACCTCAGTTCATCATGTCAGCACTGGAGCAAACTGTTTTGGTGGCAGTGAAGCATTAATTAAAAGTGTGCATTACAGCCACTGAGTGCATAGGCTATGCTAATGCTGACATCTTACATGGTACTTCCCAATTTGCATCATTACTGTGTGCTCTATTACACTCTGTCTCTCCCCTCCACCCAGACCCCAGATGCAGGCTAGTGGCAGCTCTGCTAGAGGTGCGACACAGTGTCCCATCAACCCTGTCACAAAGTCCCTTCCTCAAAGTCGAAGAGACAGCACTCTAGGAGTGGTGAGGAGGCCTCTCTACTGTAGTCACCAACAACACCACACCACTCTCACTCTCCCCTATCCCACTTGCTAGACAATAGTTTGTGTCCCACTTTACACCTCTGTTGTTCCCACATGACACTACTTTCCCAGTTTATGTAGCTCAGAGTTAAATAAGTGTTAAAGAGATGACAGTTGTTACAGTGTGCGTGTTCTCCTGCAGGTCATTAGGAATGTCCTAGCAAACACGAAATTAGCTTTGACAAAATTGCTGTAAAACATGCACTTTCCTTATCCTCACTGATGATGTAGCTTGTTACATGTGTGTGTTACATACTTACATACACTAAGGAAACTGTGTTAAAATTTTCTATTTGTTTGGTTTGTTGTCATCACTTTTACATTATGTAATTGTCACAGTTGTACAGAAAAAATTTGTGCAATTATTGTGTAAAATTGTAACTGCGCATCACAAAATTCAGTGAGAAAGGAGATAAATGTTTAGCTGAGTCATCTGAGGGTTAAAGCTTCCCAATGGAGGCGGTTTATACAACGCCCCTTGGGGACACTGACAGATGCATGAAATTATTGTTCATAGCATACCAGCCATAGGTATACACAGTTGCTAGTGTACCGCCGCCGCGCCGCCACACCCAAAATCTCGCGCTCCCACGTGCAATTTCGCATCGAAACTGGAACGTGGCCCAACTGCTGACTCCCGGACTCGACTAGGAACGGTCTCGAAATCAGCACATCAGAATGGAGGATTTGTGTAGGGACACTAGCAGCAAAGAGAGCTGCAGAAAACCAATCCTTGGGCGCTTCATTGTTTGCACAATGCCTGTTACGTGGAGTTTGGCCAGGGAGTTTCCGCGGTGGGAAGACGGAGGAGATAGAGCTTGAGCGACAGTTAGAGTCTCTGGCGCAATACCTTACGTTCGTGGGGGTCGGTGGAGGGCAGGCAGTGGACGTGGCGATGTATTTCTCCTGGAGGAGGGGCTGTAGACTAGTCACTATCCAGGGAGCCCCACTGTAGTTAGTGTTGACCCCCTCTGCTGCAGTACAGTCCCGTAGGGGCAGTGAGGTGGTGTATGTGGGTAAAACGACCCTCTAATTATCGACTTTGACCTCATCTTGAGGGCTCCCAGGGACCTGAACATAGTAGGAGTTAGCGACATTCAACCTATGACTGGGAACTAGCTCACAAAGCCGGCAAACCCGAGTACCCATTTTCTCCTGACGATATCGATAAAGTGAAGATAAAGTGAAGTCCATCCTAGCAGAGGTTATGAGCAGGGCAAACGACATAGCTGTAGTCAGCAATGCAGGCACCGAGAGCCTTGTTAGGGTGTATATACATGAACACCATCTGTCTACCTGCCGGTCACTATCGTGTGGAGGAAGGCTCTGAGCACTACTTGTTCTATGCCATCGAGAAGAGACTGCAAAGGAGCTTCATTCATGGCCACATTGTGGGACTAGGTGTGTACGTCGTGAGTCGGCTGCACTCTCAGAGCAACGACCCTCACACAGTACTGGAGTTTATGGGGGACAATGGGACTGAAGTATCACCCTAGAGACATGGGTATAGGGAGGGGGGAGTTGAGAGAGGCTCTGTTGGGGCTGGGGGAGTTTGTGAGGTGTCGAGATGACCTGTGGTATATACACCATCATTGATGAGACACAGTGGACACAGGAACTGGTGGACTCACTTCTTTTGATGTTTTGTGATGTTTTGGCTCCGCATATGTTGGCATAACTTAAGCTTTATGACAGGCTGTTGAAGATTTTATGCTGTACGTTGGGTTGGGCGTGGTATGATGTTTTTACCTAACAGCATACATTGTAGATGCGTGGGCCTGTGATAATGGAGCTTGTTAACTTGTTCCTCCTTCAGGTTCAACGCCCATGACTCAAAAAGCATTATGGTCACAATGACGTTCGTGAGAATGTATAGATATCACCATAAACCACGCAAGACTGGTCATAATAATTATTTGCATGGGGCAATTAATGCAATGTTGAAATTCAGTTCAGGCACGCATGGTCTCAATGAGTGGATATAGGTATAATGTAGAGGAGGGAGGGAATAAAGATGTTCCTGTTGTGTGTTGCCCATATGCATTTACTACAGCAACTTGTATATTTTACTCCATAGCTATTTCCGGGTTTTGAAGTGGTATATATTTACCGACTCAAAACGGTGTGTATATATGAACTGTGTGTCTTCTGGTCCAGTTGCATTAACTGTGTATAGTGTAGTTTGAAGAAAACTTTCCAGTCCTTGAGGATTTGGCTATAAGGTTGGAAGAATCTCTCAATCTCTTGCTTATGGTGGATTTCAGAAAAGATTACTTGTCTATCCAAGATCATTAATCGAAGGGGTTGTGGCACGAGTAAGAGACCCTAATTTCTAACAATGACCTAATACGAGTCATTGTCCCCGGGTATAGCTAATTTATATCTTCTTTTTAAACGTGGAGTTAAACGTGGAGAAGTAGAGTCAGCATAATCTTCATTTCACTATAATTATTCTGTCACACTTCAGGTATAAAAGTCTTATATAGTGACTATTCACTTATACCTTTGATACAACTGTTAGCACAAGCACTAAACCACCAAAAACAACCATAATTATTATAGTCACAGCTTAGTCAAATTTTCGCCACGGAGAGAGGTAAACAGTTGCTTTGTATAAGCAAGCTGTTGTCATGTTTAAACTGCCACATAAAAACTGCAATAAAAAACCTATAATAAATCCTAATTATATTATGATACTCTTTTGTTTACCTTATCAATGGCAGTGAGAAGAATAATATTATTTTAAACCTTTGACTCGGGGCATGGCCGGAAACATCATCAAAACCATCAGTATCATCATCTGTAGCTACATCACAGAAACACATTATAATTATTACAACCTGCAACGGTCAATCATCAAGGTGCTAGGTGCATAATGATGCTTTTCCATGGACCGTGTATTTCCTCAAAGCCTAAAGACTCCAAACCTACAGATAATCACTGAGCAACTAGGACTTACACATCATTGTGTAGTTCACATGGCCAAGAATACAGTATTGGCCACAAGCATTTACTGCAGCAACTTGGACTTCATAATTTTCTCCAGGTAATATAATATTATCTTGAAACAAGTGAGAAGAATCATTGGTTGTGGTATTACTCAATATTTTATCGAACAGGGAAAGGGTGTATATGAATTGTGTGTCCTCTGACCAGCCATTATATTTTTGACGATCAAAACTTATCAATAAGTTTTCTCCACTAGGATCAGCATCAATATGAGTCTCACAGTGACTTCCTGAGGAAAATGGGTGTTAAACTCTGGATATTAGCTTATAAAATTCTTACCTTTCATTGAAACAGTATACTCAGTACTTTCATTATTAAAAAGCACTGACAGTGTAGACCCATCACTGCTATTATCAATTTTAAAACTAATATTAACATTATCTCCCCCATTACATGTGACGTTTGTAAAATTCAAGTTCCATTGTCTATTTCCATTGCACTGATTTCTGGATATCCTAATAGGATCGTATCCCATCTCCTGGATTAAAAGGATCCCATCATCGTTATTCCACTGTCTTAGGTGGTTTTCAAATTCCAGAACTTCTCCACACACTCCACACACTTCAACTTCAACTATTGCAAAAGAGTGATGAAATGAAAAGCACTGAAGTGACTCACAAATCAAGTACCGTAACCCTTGCTACACACATGCATACCAAGTTTCATCTTATCAGTATTATATCGTTTCCATGACAACTACAACAACAAATAGCCTCAGGCACTTTTCTTTAAAATTACTTCTTCACTCCTCAAACTGCTAACTGTAGCATGCATGGAGGTGAAACTTGGTGCGCATGTGTATTACATCGTTTCCATGACGACACAACAACAAATAGCCTCAGGCACTTTTCTTTAAAATTACTTCTTCACTCCTCAAACTCGCTAACTATAGCACGCATGGAGGTGAAACTTGGTGCGCATGTGTATTACATCGTTTCCATGACGACCACAACAACAAATAGCCTCAGGCACTTTCTTTAAAAATTACTTCTTCACTCCTCAAACTCGCTAACGGTACCACGCATGGAGATGAAACTTGGTACGCACGTGTGTAACATCGTTTCCATGACGACCACAACAACAAATAGCCTTAGGCACTTTTCTTTAAAATTACTTCTTCACTCCTCAAACTTGCTAACGGCAGCACACATGGAGATGAAACATGGTATGCATATCATTTCTGTGACGACAACAGGCATTTTTTATAGGAGCTTGCCCCCTTCCACAGAGATAATACGTAGTAGTATATAAAAATGAGTGGAGACAAGTAAATTAAAAATCCTGCGAATTTAAAAAAGAGGCATATAGGGATCGTATAAAAAGAAAGGGAGACAAGATAGGGATTGTGTTTGTGGAGAGATGCTAGCGAGGAGTTAGGACTCCCACAGGTCATTACAACAGCCCTATATCGTCGTATCGGTGCTATACTACTTCCTCGTGAATATATCATCCAACCTTGCATACTTGAATTTAGTTTTGTTGCGTTACACAATTTTTCCATGTTCCCATGTATATACATGTATATCCAATGTTATGGTCAGCTGATTACCTAAATGCGCACTCCATGGAAGTGTAGCATGACAAATCTATCAAAGGTAATTAGTAAGTACTTCATTACCTATAGCAATGTTCTACAGACTCTCTCATCACTCCCACTCCCACCCTACGAAGAAGATTGAAAACTTTCCCTATCATAGCCCCATACATCTACGATGCTAGGTACTCCCACCGTACGACGATATAGGGCTGTTGTAATGACCTGTGGGAGTCCTAACTCCTCGCTAGCATCTCTGTGCTTCCACAAACACAATCCCTATCTTGTCTCCCTTTCTTTTTATACGATCCCTATATGCCTCTTTTTTAAATTCGCAGGATTTTTAATTTACTTGTATCCCTAGGAGTTGTAGCAGTATGAGCTTCGACACGTAGCTGCCAAGTCAGCAATATATTGCTCACACGTTATCGTAATCCTAATTTCTTGTACAGCACTACCTTCCGTGCTTTGATAATTAATGAATAGCCCATAACCAGACATTCACGCACTAGGTGATTCATACTTGTACCAGAAGTTACAAAATTAAAAGAATGGAAGGAGACAAGGATGAAATACAATAAAAGCAGGAGGAAACTTTCAAGGTGAAACCTTGTTTTGGTCACAAATGCACAGTTTGGGGAGAAACTTTTCACGGACAACAAAGAAATATTTTTTTTGCGAAAGTTTCCTCGAGGGTTAACAGTTGCCATGCTTGTGTACTTACCTGCACAACTACATGCTGTGAAGTAAAGTATATAGTAACCAAGGTTTTTTGGAGTTGAATTCGCTGCAGAAAAAATTAACAACAATAATAAATTACCTGGCACAACCCTTGGATGAATTTAGTAAATTACTGCATATAATCAAGCAACCTAATGAAAAGCACTAAAAACCGTCGTCACACGTGCGCAGATGTCTGATATGATAATTAATTTAACTAGTTGCTGCAGCTTGCACGTTGTTTATGAATACTTGTGCATAATTTTCTGTCTGGATGCTCTATCTCACCTCTCTCAGCCGTTCTAATTCTGCATGATATCCGTTAAAGTTGGTTATACCCTATTGTCATAATTAATTTTGTCTTTAGCTACCGGTTCAGCTTATAGTCGGGAGTATAATAGCCTGACCCCAAGCTGTTACGTAACAACAGTGTAACTTCGCATGCGCACCACCCCCGTTAATCGAGCGATCGCGCACGCTTAGTGCCTAGCCTTTTAGCCTAACTTTTTCACGGTCCCTTGGCGACTTTATCATGTCTTTCTAGAATCGTGGGTGCAAACCTCATGCACACAAATTCAAAGTATCCGGTAACCTGAGGATCTGCCTGCGAGATCAGTCGCCATGGCCACCAGCATCCAATCGGGGGAAAAACATGATATGAGGGGATGGGGACTATGTAGCTATGGTGGACTAGGTTGTGCGTCACGTCGGGTTTTGTCTACCAAAAAACTAGCAAAAACTTAAAGTTTGCTGACTTCATGTTCTGGTTGGCTAATAGCATACACCGTTTGACTTTAGATTCGTCATTTTATAGCTAAGGCTTATGTCGGAGGCACGTCACGTCGCAATGTCAACGTCGGCATCGAATGGCCAAAAATAGCGTCATGTGACACATGACACTTATTAACAGATGCGGAGTTTCCAACGTTTGGCGTTCTTTCTGCCAACGTGAACTCCGCCTCTTGTTAATAAAGTGTATGTTTCACATGACCGCTATTTTTGGAGCCATTCGATTGCCGGCCGCTTGACATTGCGACGTGACGCACAACCTACGTCACCATAGCTACATAGTTCCCCATCCCCTAACTATCTGCTTTCCCCGATTGGAATCCTGGTGCACCTCTAGATATGGGCACATTACAGCTAGCCGCATCGCACCTCGGCAACCGCCTCCGTACTAACTTTCTTTGTGCCCAATCTCACAGTTAGTCATGATATAGCTATGGGTAAATATCATTTTTGTATATACCTTCTTGCCGAGATATAATAGGCAAACTTTTCCACACAGGAAGTGAAATAGTCTGTCCTACTGATTCTAAGTTGTTTTGCGCTAACCCACTCGGCTATGGTGCTCCTATGCCACTGTCGGTATTGCCGCCGAATAAGTTTTAGCTTAAATGTACATAATCTAAAGTCAACGTGTAGGCTATTAGCAACCGGACATGAATGTCAGCAACTTAGTTTTTGCTTAGTTTTGGTAGACAAAACCTGACTCAAATTTTAGCTGATACATGATGTAGCTATCTATACAAAGAATGATTTTACCATAAACTTGCGAGTTTTAATTTTGGCTGTGCTTCGGTAGCTCTTCTATAGATTACTAACTTGTGTGCAAGAGCAAAGATGGATTTTCGTTCTGACCTTTATAAGTAAAACATGTGATTTATGATAATGCTGAAACTAATGGTTTGTCATCGTTTTGATGGTTAATTATGCAGCTGATGTACATTTACTGGCTCTCGGAGTAATGTGCTTTCATCCTGCCTCACTATTGATCAGTAGATTTTTGAACATCTTATGAGTTGGTGGCTGTTATGTTTAATTATGTAAAGTTGAGTTTTTAAATGGTGTAATTAAATGTTACATGAGCTGACATCATTGTGTTGAATTGCCATATATGGTCATTGTTTATTATGCTGGTTTGAGACAGGGTATACAGATATATGTCTCTAAACCTGACCTTTTTTCAAGAACGAAGGGCTCGTGGGAATTCGAACCCATAGAGCACTTATTATAATACCCATGAGCTATATACAAGAAAAGCTTGTAGCGACTCCAAATACCATCGACTGATTCATACCATACAAAGTACCTTTATATATGTCTACAGTAAGTTCCATCGAATGTTCCATGCACGATGTACATAGGTCAGGAGCCAGTACACGATGTCAAGGCAGAGAGTCGAGTGCACGTTATAGGTTCAAGAGCGATTGCCACATTCACTCCCCCCCAGTTGAGTCTAACGTGAACGAAGCTTCATTATGTCTTTAGTGGAAGTGGCACGTCTGCAGAGCGAGTTGGTCCGAGTGGGGCTCGAACCAATGTGTTGGTGAAGAGGCCTGCGAAAGAGAACTGGAATCCGTATCCCAGATGTAAATCGAGATAGGCTGTTGAGACTGGTACCAAATGGACCACTGATGTCCTTGCGCCCATCATAGGCCAATGTGAAGTATTTCTCGCTCTGTCGAGGGACTCTATAGGGACCATGCGAATCCGTATCCCGCAGTGAACATCGAAGAATAGCGCTGGTTGAGACGGTGCCCAATGACACTGTGTCCTTCCGCCATTCATAGTCCATGTGAAGATTTCTCGCTCTGTCGAGGACAATATAGGGACATTGTAAGTGTTACTGATTGCTTTGCCACCCTTGTCGTTGCGGGGACAACACATGATGCCTGAGAAGAGGTCCTTGTACAGTGGCTATGCGGTTGTGGCGTTGGGCGGGACTGGCAGGGTTGCTTTTAAATACGCATGGGGCATCCCGTAACGTGCAACGAATGATAGGTCGGCGTCCGCATCCGATGTCCAGACTGAGCGTCTTCTCGACAAAAATTCACTGGAAGACGCGGAGCATCTGTAACATAGAGGAGCTCTGCCAACACTGCGTAGGTCTCTGAGTGGGTACGAATCGCTGAGAAGTCGCAGTGCGCAGTATCTCATCGCTTACTACGTCGCGTGATTCTGCGCCTCTGAGGAAGACTTGAGTTGGCGATGAAATCGTGTCGATCATGCCGTTGCGATGGGTGATAGGCGTCGCCGGAGTGTTTGCACGCTAGGAGCTGTGATCAAAAGCGCCCAGAAGTCGAGACTCGAACTGTCGACCTCTGTCGGTGGTGACGGTTTCTGGCACACAAAAAGTTGCAACCCAGCACAACGTAAAAGCTAGCGCGATCGTCTCGGCATAGACAAGTTGCAGGGTTGCATCGATCCCTGGTGAGACAGGAATGGAAGGAGTGGAAAACCGCACGTCGGAAATCGACTGGTACAAAAGGCCAGGGATTGCCTGTGCTGATATCGCAGACGAGTGTAGTAGGTGATGCTAAGTGTGGCACCGTGTTGAGCTGGAGGGTGAACTCTGGAGTGCTTTGAGTTCTGGGTCTGTCGATTGTGCCATGGCCATGGCCTCGAAGTCAACGGCTGGTGGCTGGGTAACGTGTATATAAAGCATTCACAGATGCCAGTGAGATAGCGTCTGCCACAGGGTTTGCACCACCACTCACATGCCTGATGTCGGCCGTGAACTGAGAGATGAAGTCGAGGTGACGTCTGTCCCGGTGTGTATTTGTCTGAGTGGGTGGCCAGTGCAAAGGTTAAGGGTTTGTGGTCAGTCAAAACAAAGAGACTCACGGCTTCGACGAAGTGCCGAAAGTGCTTTAGCCAGGTAGATGGCCAGCAGCTCTCAGGTCGAAGTGCTGTAGCCTTGTCTCTGACTGGGCGCAAACTTCCTGGAGAAGTATGCAAATAGGGCACCACTGTTATCCAGGTATTTGCTGCAGGACGGCTCCAACGGGCGCGGATCTGAGGCGTCAAAAGCCATAATGGAGGTTGGCATGAGGTTTGGGCATGCACCAGGAGGTTTGGCGTCAGCGAGAGGCTTGTTTTGATTGCGTTGAAGGGCCGGTGAGTAGATTCCTCATTCCAGCCAAGTGACGCAGGGGAGGGTACTCTCTGAGCGAGCTGAGAGGAGGCCTGTTGAGGGGGTTCCAGAGTGTTTGGCAACCATTGGGATGAAGCGATGGTACAAAGATTGACGAGCCCGAGGAATTCAAGTAGCTTCCTGAGCAGATGTTGGCTTAGGGGGAAGGGAACGGAATGGGGACACTGACTTCTTCTTGGGCAACGCGGCGGATTGCCTTGTTGCCACTGACACTGTGTTTCCCAGGGAAAAGTCGAGTTCTGAGACCCCCAAGAAAACACCCCCAAACTTTTGCCGGATTGATGACCAT